CCTGCCTGTCCGCCGGACGATCTCTCTTCTTTCGCTGCGTCAACGAGCGTACGCCTATGGTGGTCCATGCGCCTAAAATCGATTCAGGGAGACACAGACAGGGCATGGACCTTCCAACTCTATGGTGCATTCACAATAACTCCCTTTCTTTCCCTTCTCGCTGTCGCGTATCTCTCTTTTGCTTGAACGTTAGACAAAAAGAATCAAAATATTTTAAGGGGCGTACAGTTTGAAAAGAAAAGACTAATAGACGTCGGCTCGAGGAATTGATGAAATTTTCCACGATAGAAACGATTTTCGATCTTCGTCTCATTATCTTGTTACCGAGTTAATCGGACACTTTTCTGCAATTTACCTATAATTGGCGACGGAATTCGGACAATTTCGTTCGAACTATCGAGATTACACGTTCGCTTGACTCTTGGACGCATTTATTGCGGAAAAATTGTCGCCTGCTATCAACGAACTCCGGAAGCTCCATTAGACTATATTTGCATGGAGAGAAATTCACAGTAAAAATTGCTGCAGAATTTCGTAACCGAGGAACATCTTGGCATTCTACCTTATTTACTATAATTCCATTTTATACATGCTATCTATATTTTATACGGGAAAACGTTTGGTTGATGAGAGTATCGATTTTGAGTTTTTCGTAAAAATTCTTAGGAACTTATCGAACATACTGATATAAATTCTTTCCGTGGGATAAACATTCAAATAAATTCACAAGTAAATTTACTTTCATATGCTCCCTATAATATCACATATCAATTATAGTCTGTAAATTTTTATCGACAGATATTTCTTCATGAAGCGATAACCGCCGGCAGAATGAAGCGAGTAAAAGCGCGTTAATCAACTGCACATAAATATAACGACGATATAATCAACGGCTAGTATACGTCGTAAAGCGCGGACTAGTCCGTAAATGGAACGTTCCGCTTCGAGCGCTCTGTCGAAATTTCCGTAAGGGAAACGGTGGCGGCGGCGACGGGGACGATAACCGCCCTCTTAATTTTACGATCGCTCGTAATGGACGCGCCGGCAAATTATTATGGGGAAAATTTGGCGCGCGGGGACGCGAGTAAACGGGCGGGCGACCATCGCTGGAGTTTTCAGAATGACTCCGAGATCCGTCGAGAGGGAAGTGCGTATTGCGTCTTTATGGGAGTTAGGTTTATTAGGTGCCGTTTTCGGGGCCGCGCGCGCGTTCTCGCGACTGCCTCTGTCGGTGGGAGTGTGCGTGTCTGTATGTGTGCGCGTACTTCCTTGCAAATTGCACAGTTGCACATAGTTACGGGGGAATACAGGGTGTCCCAGAATCGTCTCTGCGGTTCCTTGTGAGTCCCGGTGAAAATAAAGAATGAAAGGTGAACGATTAATGGCTGATATTGGCCTTAATTGGTGTTACAATAATTGCGACTGATAAAGGACTACTGTATTTTATGGTGCGAATTTGGAGATGAAATTCGCTTTTCTTCATATGTTACCGTCTCGGTTACGTGTTTCTACGCACCATCAGTGCCACAATTACGCAGAGTATTTTGAACCACCGGGTGTACAGTCGAATTGCAACGAATTTCGGCATTATCGCGACAGTTTTCGTTCACAACTCCAGCCATTTTTTTCTTCTGATATCTCCTTTGCATTTTGAAATGCCTAAAAATAATGTTCCAACCGTTTTGAAACTTACCGTACACCTAAAAGATGTGAGCATTATTTTAGAATTCTGCGTCCATCATTCGCATGGATCGTTTAAAGCGGCATTAACGGTGTTTCCGCAGCAATAATCCCCCGAGGGTGGGAGTCGTCCACTATGGGGTTGAATGTGCGTGCACATTCGCCGGCGAAGGGATGCCGCGAGACGCGGGAGGGGCGCACGGGGTTCTCTCGTTCGCCGCGAGCTATAACTTAGAGAGAGAGAGAGAGAGAGAGAGAGAGAGAGAGAGAGAGGAACGTCCGTTAGCATCGGAATCCGAGCGATGCTAATTTCACATGGAATTCCGCCGACCTCCCCTTTCCCGGTCATCGTCTCGTCTCGAGGGCGGTGTACCGCGAATTATATTAACCGCGACTTCGGCAAGTCCTCCTCCCGCTCGTCGGGAATCGATTCGATCTCCGAGAGATTCTCTCCTCGGCGAACTCCGGCCATTCGTTTCAATTCGAGAAGAGAGAAGACACTCCAAGAACTGAAGATTTTGTAATTTCGCGAGTCCCAGCCGGTACGTAAAGTATCGAGTTTGTAATTTGTATGTACGATACGCGCGCGGTGCGGCGCGACCGATCCGCATTTGACTTTGTAATTTTCGCACTGTGTGCAGAGAGTCGCGAAACTTCGGGGTTCGCAGAGAGACCGCTGATCGCGCGGCTCTCGCAAATATTTGCATCTAATGCTTTGTCCGGTTTCTCTTCCTCCGCCTTCGACCTCGATTAGAATAATTGTCGTACTTCCGAGTCGCCGCTTCTCGGCTCTCGCCGGTTTGCGCGTCTAGCGGGAGCTTAAGGGATCATTTCGATGTGTACCGCGGGTTGGGAGTGTACACAGCGAATAACAGCAAGTGTTTGCGCATCTTTATGGGCGTATTTATTTAGTAATGCAAGTCATCTTTCGACTTTTCTGTCGCGAAAATCTTTCCTTCCTGTACTCGGTGTGACGTATTACGCTGTGCTATGAATATTTTTCCAACGATTCGATCGATCTCGATTTTATAGTTTATCCTAAGTATCAAAGATTTGCTTCCTTGTCTGCGACAACTGTATCCGATTGGCGATCAAATAGTTTTCACTTTTCCTGCTATGAACTGGAGTTAATATTGCGATATCGCGGGATTTATGTACTGCATTATGATAAAAAATAAGACTTGGTTATAGAATTACATAGGTCATCGCGTTCGACATTGGCATGAATGACGTAAAGAAAATACCTTCAGTTACTATTCGCCGAAGTTCGACGTGTTGTATTTACATCTGTGTGAAATTATCTTTGGACAAGAATTAATGTGATTAGAATGCGTTAGCGTTCGACTTCCCATTAACCTTCGTTACAACGTGGTTAATCTATTTGAAAACATGTAATTTGGATAATGCCGGTTAGTCGGTGCTGGAGTGTTTCCGGTTAAGAGTTATGTTCTTTTTGTGAAGAATTTGAGGGAGATTTTTGAAATATGATGTCACTGCATATTTTTCGATATAATTGTCGGATTTTCAATGTGAACGATCAAATAGTAGAGAAAAAGGTGGTATTATGGTGCTTGTAGATATATTTTTTATATGTCTGCTATAGAACAAATTCTAGTAATTATTTATGGAATTATGTTTAGTAGCCCGTCGTTACGTAATGACGCTAATATGCCATTACACAATAGCCGACATTTGTTATAACTCATTTTTAATTTGGAGCATTTCGAAATGTTTTCAAGGAACATTTTAGCATTTAATTATACATATCTCTTAATTCTTTATAAAAATTTAGGTATATTATCATATTATATTTGGGCGTATTGTATATATCACATGAATATATGGATACTACAATGCTTTATTCGTTATTTAACATTTTATGTTTCTGTACAGTGTGTTACATTACGTATAATTACGACGGGTTGCCTGCCCAAAGGCGTGCGCGTCCAGATGCTAATTCCGGACTTGTCGATATAGTCACTCGCATACCTTTCCAACAGCTGAAATTTTAGTATTTCTAATTATTATGATTTCATCTTTTAGTTAGAAATATGACTCCAATCAGAAATCTCAGTGATATATTGTGTACACGCAATCAGTAGTATTTATCTTAACTATTATAATTGCATGTATTATTTTTTTTATATTTATCCTTTTTAATATCCTTACTTTTATCCTTACTTGCTGAATTATGCATTATACGTGAGAGGAAGATCTTTTTTATCGATGTAAACATACAACATAAAGCTGATAAAGTTAGTTTTGCTTTAAACACGTTCTCGCTTTCTCGATAACCATAAGAAATGTATACTTAGAAACAAATACGGTGCAATCTTGGTCGACAATTTTTGATAACTGTTGATGTATTGAATGTTGAATTGAATCGCTTTATATTTGGATATTGGGAATCTCTTCCTTGTTCGCGACAATGGACACCGACTGGCGATCTTCCAGTTATTAACTGACGTTAATATCGTGATATCGACGGTACTTATACACTGTTATGTTTTCTTATTATAAATCTAAAATACATAATCATAAGACTGATTACTGGAATATGAAGGTTATCGCGCGTGACATTGCTATAAATGTCGATGTAATAAAGAGAGAATTATGTCCGTCGTTATTCGTCAAAGCTGCACGTGTTATGTTATCATTTGCGCGAAATCATCTTTGGACAGAAATGGAGTTAACGTAATCAGAATGCGATAGTATTCGATTTCTTATTAATCGTTGATATTTTCGTTTTTATGTTTTAGCTTGAACAAAACATTTCATGGAACGTGTAAAATAAATAATTCGCGGAAGTTTTTCGGTCATCTCATTGCTTGTTATTCGTGTTATGTATTAATACATACATAATAACGCCTCCCAGTTCTCCTCCCTGATTAGTTTAACTACATCGCATTCTATTTCACTTTTTTCTTATCTGTTTCCCTAAATATATCTGCTCTTTCTTTTTCATACTTCTTACTGTATACTACGTGAGCAATACTTTTCTCTTCTGCTCCACACTCACATCTCAATGTATTAATTATTCCTTTTCTTTCCAACGATTCATTTAAATTATGATAGTTCGCTCTGTGCCTCTTAATCATTATATTGAATCATCTTCTATCATTTCTTCTTCTAAATCATAGTTTAGTACTCGCCTTGTTATGTAAGAAACTTACAACGTAATTCTCAGTGACTCACAAGAAACTATAACAATGTATTTAACTATATTTGAGGTTATAAGAAGGATTACAAGAAAGGGCTATTCAAGTTGGTAATCTTAACGATCTATACATGGAAACTCAAACTTTTTTCACACACTATCCTTGACGCTCTACAACTATTTTGTTTTTATTTAACTAAAGCTTTGTATGAATTTGAGAGATTAATGGTCTATATGTTATGGTTAAAAGTTCCGAACAAATAAGAATATCGCTTCTTATTTCTATATTTTATTGATACTTTATTCATTATTATTATTTCTGTTTTTCATTTCGATGTGGCCACACATGAAGAATTTCAAGCTCACTTCGCACTCATCGGTCATGTTTTTAACTGAAATACAAAAATCTAAATATATAACATATAATTACAGTCAGTCGCGTCCAATTCAACTGATCATGAGCAAATTATGCATAACAACTAAATATAGTCAATGAATGATTGGAGCTTTTTTAAGATATTCTTTATATATTGATCAATATCTACCATAATCGGCGCATTTGTCCAACACTTGGTAGTCTCGGACGAGTTTGTCAGATGCAAATTCTTTGGAATCTGGGCGAATCATCTCTTTTAACTTGTTTATGTTTACATGCGCACCCGTCATCTGGAATTGGTGCATGGACATGAAGATGTAGACGTATACATAGTGAACATATATATATATAAATACATGAAATATAAATCACGCAGCACGTAATTATTGATATTAAATGATATTTCATGAATTTCATAAAATCTTAAATAAAATAATAATTTTAATATTAATATTGATTTTAATATTTAATATTAATATTTTAATCTTAATAATTTCCAAATTCAACTTAAATTCCATCAAACAAAAATCAATACGTATTTCATCCATGTCAACTAAAAAGAAAGAAGCTAGTCGTCCTATATGAATAGCTTATTTTATGTGTGATATGTATATAAGTACGTATTCATACATACATACGTACATACATACATACATACATACATACATACATACATACACACACATATATATATACACAAAATTACAAGAAATATTTTTTGTTTTCCAAATCGCAAAATCATGCAGACCTTATTCATTATTGTGGATTTTTACCATTTCTTTCTTCTGACATATGCAAGCGACAAGGCAGCCGATTTTTAATAATTTGTCGTCGAAATCTATGGTACGTAAATCGTCTGTCAAAACTTGGTCAAAGTGCATCATATCCTCTAGAAGATATCGTTTCGATTACATTAACAATAAAATATCATCCGAATTGCTCAAATTAATAAGACTCATGCACAAATGAGAGCTTACCGATTGTTACGCTTGACTTGTTGACGCATATCTGGGTTTCCTCCTTCGTCATGTTTATAACACTAGCTAAAAATTCCACAAAATCTTCGTCAAAATCTTCGTTCATTGTCTGCAATAGGCAAGTAGAATCAAAAGATTTTTGTAGGATATTCGAGGGGACGGTTAAATAATGAATTTTGATGAATTTTAACAAGTTTTCCTATGCAATGAACAGAATCGACGGACGGTTGGGTTAAAATCGAAATGAGAAATTTTTTCGACGAAGTTTTCTGGTAGATCATTTATCTCTCTGCTAATAATGAGTGTCGTTTTCGTCTAGTTATTAACAATAATTGCACTAAAAAGTAAGAAAATGGTTAATTAAGAACCGCTCGCAATTGTTAAATGCAATGTTACACTACCCACAAGATAAAGTTTCCGGCGAGCTTTCGTCAAGCACGCATTCAAGCGCATATACGGTAAACCGCGTGGAAAAATATTCTAAACCTTACATAAGTGATCGAGTAGCTTGTTGGAAGTTGATTATAGCTAGATGAAAACGCGATTGTAGAAACAGACAGATTCCTGTGAGAGGTGTTTCTACTCAATTGCTTTGTTTTGTCTTAACTGAATTTTAATGCAGCTGAATGTTTTCAGTCGCGGTAACAAAGATATCATTTCTTGCCATCAAGATTTTATCCGATCCCTGTTCGGTTGCACAGAGTTTTTTTCCGTCTTATAACTGAGGTTTTCAATTGGCATCACGTTTGTAACATTTGAAATTGAGCCAGCTTTCGCGATTATCGTTAGGACGAATGTTGATATGCTAGAGATTAACATTGCTTTATATGTAAAAGAATCGTACTTTTATTTGCACTCTGCTTACACTTACACCAACCTGAATTACACAGATACTTACGACGACACTTGCGACGAGCGTGAAGAAAAACAAAAGCGTTAACTTCATATTTCGATTTGGGAATCGCTTTTTGGCCTGCGATAATTGACTCCGATTGGTGATCAAACAATTCGCGCTTTCCCGCTATGAACTGACGCCTATATCGCGATATACCGTATTTATATACTGTGCTACGTATATACGATAATATAATATTTAATTAGAGGAGTACGGAGGTTATCGCGCGACATCAGCATAAATGCAACGAAAGGAGAATCCCGTCAATTGACAATTCGCTCGAATTTATCGCGGAATAAGAATCGAATAAATGTAATTAGATTGCGTTAACGTTCGATTTCCTATTAATCATTGATATTTTTGTTTCTATATTTTAGTTCGGACAAAATGTTCCATGGAACGTGTGAGACAAATCATTCGTGGAAGTCTTTCAATCATCTCATTGCTTGTTATTCGTGTTATATATACCGTGTTTCCCTTTTTATGAATGTTGTGTAGGAATATTAATTACCGGCAATTTGTTCGCTAGAAATTAAGAAATCTCTTAATAATTGGAGAAGTGAAATTCTTATTATTTCTGCGCTATTTCGAGTAACTAAGGAATAACTATATCAGCCAAACTTTACGAATGAAAACGACTAGCATTTCTAGCAATTGTCAATTTATCTTCCGTGCATATAATGTATCCTTTTTTCGTTTTATTTTTTTCTTTTTAATTTTGTAACTGATAACAGACTAATCTATTTGATATATTTGTAAATTAAGAATGTGTCATCTCACAGATTTGAAATTCGTTTTAATTTATGTATATTTGGATAAAATTATTCCTCGTAACAATTCTTTCTTTCTCTATTTGGTTTTTCTGTTAGAATGTCGCATTATGTAAAAGATTGAAAATTTGAAAATATAAGAGCAATATAATTTAACCTTTTGTTATACTTTTGCCTTCTTCTACGCAACGGTTGCGAATATTGTTCACATGAACATTGATTAAGTTTCATAAATTTATTAGAAACTTGAAAAATTACTTTTATCATATGTTTTTGTTAAATTTAAGATTCCAACGAGCCTACAAATATGTTTTTCTTTTAGGCAGAGAAACTTATAAAAACATATAGGTCGCAGAGACTTACAAAAAATGTTGTCAATATGCTGAAATATATTAACTGGTCATTTAGGTTGGTAACCTTAAATATTTATAGACGGAATTTCAAACTTTTTTACACACTATCCCAGATTCGTCACTTACTTTGTCTTTATTTAATCAAAACTTTGCGTGGATTTGGAAGATTTATCATATGTGTTTTAGAGTAAAGGAATACATGCAAATAATATATATGTATAATATCGTTTTTAATTTCTTATATTTTATTCATTATCATTTTCATTATCATTTTTATTATCATTTTCCATGTATTTTTGCGTTTCATGCAAGCAGCAGAATACAAATTTGAGGGTCACTTCGCACTCGTTAGTCTTGCCTCTAACTGAAATGCATAAATAAAAGTGTATAGTAAATAATTATAGTCAGTTGCGTTCAATTAACTGGACATGAGGGCGTATTGCGCAACAACATAATACGGTCAACTGATGATTTGAGTTTTTTGCGACATTATGTGTTTATTAATCAATATCTACCTCGATCGGCGCACAAATCTAGTATTTGGAAGCCTTTGGCGCGTTTGTCAGGTGTTCCTCTTTTAGCCTTGGCGTTCATTATTTCTTTAACTTTTTCTATATTCACATGCGCACCTGTCATCTGGAATTAGTGCATGATCGTGACGATGTAGACGTATAATGAGAACAAAAATATAAGTATATGAAATATAAATTATATATCACTTAATTATTAGTAAGCGGTGTTAATTTTAGTACGTGAATCAAACCATAATCAGTAATTTCCAAATTAAATTTAAATTCTGAATTATTTGAATAAAATACGAGTCAAAATCTGTTTCGTCCATGTTGATTGAAGAGAGAAACTAATTCTCCCACTTGAATATCTTGCGTATCTTGCGCATGTGTGTATGTGTGTGGAACCTGCACTTTTGACAAATTATTCATTGTGATTGATTTTTACCATTCCTTTTTTTTTGGCTATACAGGCGAAGAGGCAGCCGGCTTTTAAGGCCTTGTCGTCGAAATCTATGGTATTTAAATCGTCTACCACAATTTGGTCAAAGTGCATTAGGTCCTCTAGAAGATATAGGTTTGATTAGATTGATAATGAAGTACCATCATTGAATTGTTTAAATTAATAAGATTCAGGTGCTAATGGCAGCTCACCGACTGTTACGCTTGTTTTATTGACGCATATCATTACTTCCTCTTTCGTCATGTCTGCACCATTCGCTAATCTTTCCACAAAATTTTCGTCGACGCTCATTGCCTGTAATAAGTAAGTAGAATCAAAATCTTTGTAGGATAGTCAAGATATTGGCTCAACAAAAAATTTTGACGAAAGTGTTTTAATAACGCGGAGAAAACAAATTTTGCTGGAACAGCAAATTTTTGTCGATATAATGATAGCAAAAAGAAATTTGTTTAGACAGCAAAAAATTTGCTAAAAGTATTAATTATCCACATATCAGCAAATGGCAATTAATACTCTTAGCAAATCTTTTTGCTGTCTAAACAAACTTTTTTTGCTGTCATTATATTGATAAACATTTGCTGTTTCAGAAAAATTTGTTTTCTCCGTGAAGTTTTCACCTAAGAATCGCGAAGAATGGTTGAAGCAGAATCGAAATAAGAAATTTTTTCGAGGAAGAGTGGCGGTAAACTTCTAATCTTGTTTTTTGCTAATAGTTATAATTATTGTTGTTTTTGTTATTATTAGTACTAATTACGCGAAAGAAGAAGATAGCTAATAAGAGTCAATCGAACACGGGGGAGAATAATTTTGTTGTTGTAGCGAAAGCATCGTTGTTACTGCATATTTGTTACGACAGCTATAAAATTTAGTTGGCTAACCAAATAACCAATAACCAAATTAGCGAATTATCAATAGTTAGAACGAAAATAGTTTTCCTGCCAGGATAAAAAATATCGTTCACTATTCTGGTGCTTAAACTATTCTGGTGCAAAACGTAAATCTGTTAAAATATCGCTTCTGCTTGAACAAGTTCCCGATTGTCAATTTCAACAACAAATTTCTCGATTAACTAACAACTGCGAGAAACGATTAGTTAGAAATGGATACAGCTAGTCTAACATTTTTAATAATTGTCGATGTACTGAGTTCTAAATTCACAGTACGTAATGTATAATTTTTATATGACTGACGTTTTCGATTAGCGTCGTGTTTTTAACATTTGAAATTGAGACTACTTTCACGATTATTGTTGCAACGAACGTTCGGTCTGTGCTCGAAAGTAATACTGCGATATATGTGGAAGAAGCGTAATTTCGTCTGCGCTCTGTTTGCACTCACATATTATATAAGTACTTACGGCAACGACGAGCATGGAGAAAATTAAGAACGTTTGCTTCATGTTTCGATTCGGGAATATCGTTTCCTGCTCCACAACAATGGACTGCGATTGACGAATAATAATTCGTATTCTTCCAGCTATGAACTGACGCTGATATCGCGATATACGGTATTTATACACTGAGCTACGATCAAAGATAAAACTTACTTATAGTAGTATTGGAGGTTATCGCGCGTGACATCAGAAGGAGAATTCCATCGGTCACTCGTCGAATTCTCGGCTTGTCATTACATATACACGAAATCACCGCAGAACAAGAATAAAATTGACGTTTAAATAGAATTGCGTTAGAGCTCAATTTCTTATTAATCATCGACCCTCTCGCGTGTTCACACTTTTACTTGAATAAAGTGTTCTTCGGGACGTGACAGGAATTAGTAAGTTATTCTCGGAAGTTTATCAGTTTCTCATTTGTCTTGTTATTGTTATGCACATGTATATTTTCTCTTTTATTAATGTTTCGTTGTATGAATATAGGGATATCACTTATCTCAAGTCTGTTTGTTAGAAATGACGTAATTACTCAATAGTTGGGCAAATAAAAATTCTGCGGATGTACACGAAGCATATACGAGGTGTTCTAAAATTTGTAATTTTAATGTGGAGATGTGCGAGATGTTTTCTGAATAATTTATAGTTAATTTTCCTCAGCGAAAATATAGAGATAATGTAGATATCAATAATTTCCGAGATATTGCAAGAGATATATGTTCCGAAATTATATTATATCGGCTGTGACGTATATCTTTTTTTTTATTTTAACTGGTTCTTACTGCGTTAAAATTTCGAGGGAGATATAGAAAAGAAGCGGATGTTATGAAACACCGAAATTAGAAGTGATTTCGCGCATAGTAACATTAACCTTTCTTACAAAAATATTTCAAATATCGGAAAAAGTCATTTTTTGCCTAAAATCCTAAAACCTCAATTATTTTGGAAACCTGCTAGTGAAATTTAGCTTGCGGCATTGTTTTTTAGAATCCAATAGTTTTTAAGAAACATCTTGTCTGATTCAAGGTAATTAAAAGAAATATTTTTCTGTAAATTAGTGTTATTGACACGCGCGCAGCTTTATGCTTTCGTCTGAACAAACTTGGTTTCCATGCAAAATGAGTCATTCGCGAAAGTCTGTCTAATATCTTGTTTCTTCTTGTTCGTGTTATGTGTGTTTTTTTTTCTTATTAATATTTTACTGTATAGATGTTTGATAGAAATATCAGTTATCATTAATCTGTTTTAGAAAGAGAAAAATCTTTCAATGATTAGGAAGAAATGATAATACTACGAATATTTTTACACTTTTATTTTGAATAATTAAATACAATATATGGATAACTTTATTAACACAAAATTAGTATTTCCAACAATACTCGGTCTTCTCGTGTCTCATTGTGTACCCTTTTTTTTTCGTTTCTTCGGTTTTCTTTTAACGTTGTAATCATGATTTGTGGTAACTCATGATTTATTCGTACATTTAGAATTCAACTCAGCTGTGCTGAGTCGAATTAACCAGCTGTGCAAAATTAAATGAACTTCTTTGAGAGACATACGAGCAGCGAAAGAGATTTATCACACAGATCTGGATTTGTTTTAACTGAAACAAATTTGTATAGAATTATTCCTCGTGACACTTTGCGCGTCTTTCATATTTGCATACGCAATATCTCAGATAACACAAAATTCCGAAAGACGTTGTAAAGACGTTTGAAAAACGCTTTAAATTCTTTAGATGTCTTTCGAACATTTATCCGAGATCTTACAAACTAGTTTTCAATTATTTTGTTCTCTCTCTCTCTCTCTCTCTCTCTTTATTCCTGTTAGAATGTCGCGATAGATAAATAATATTTTAAATATAACATTAATAGAGTAATTAATTTTTTGTTACACTTGCCTTCTTCGACGCAACGGTTAACAGCTGCGTGTATTGCGCCTCGGACGTCGTGATTTAAATTAGCATGCGCTTCTTTAGCGTACAATTTATCCTTCTGAATCTCTCCGTTAACAATCTGAAATGATTCGTAAGAAAAAAATATATTAATTGGAAAATAATATTCCTATATTTTAAATATGCTGTTTTAGAAATGTGCGATATTTTGTTGTTTCGGACGTTCGTGATTTTCAAGTATATGCAAAAAAATTATGGTTTAGCATCACAGAAGTAGGATAATACATTGAAAATATTGAAAATATATTAAAAATATTGGATAGAGAAAGGTCAAAAACAAAATAGTGCCTATACGAGGTATCGTAAATTTCTTATATAAATAACTTCGATTTTACCTAAATGTTTTCTCAGCAATTTACAGTTAACTTTCTTCAGAAAAATTTCCGAGATATCAATAATTTCAGAAATACAAAAATTGGAGTTCTTCGCGAATAAAATTTCAGGAGACCAAATGGATAACAAAATTATTTTCTTTAATCTGTTTTTGAAGTGAACCTTAACAAGATATTAATTTAGAATTAGCTTAGCTGCAGAGATATGTTATGTTGAACGTTGAATGATAACGTAACGTCCAATAATTGCTCACCAACTCTCGCTTCTCTAGTATGCACGCTGAGAAACAACCGTTTTTCGTCGCCCTTTCAGGGTTTTGAACGTAGGTGCCATTCTTTATCTCATCATATGTAATTAATTCGTCTACAAGAAAGTCATTATTATTATTGGTTTGTGCTGTATCCTATCAAAAAAACAACAGAACGTCTTACATGATAAATTTAACGATGCGATTATCGTCGCACTCGCGATTTTATGAAATTAGCTTATGTATATATTTTTTCTTTTCATTTTATTTTAATCGATTCACTTTGTGCTGACATTTCGCGAGAGGTATAGGAAAAAGGCAGAAATTACAGAATACCGAAATTAGAAGTGATTTTGCGTACCTTCCTTTAAATTCGTGCTCTCATAACATTGTTGTACTTCTTCTGGTGATAGCTTAGAGCCATGCAAAGCCAAATTGGCTACAGTATTGGCACTAGTGATCATCTGAAATATAAATTACGCGTTATGAAGCCTCTTACTAAAATTCAAATGTTTGTTTTGTTTAAATAAACACAATGTTTTGTTACAAATTGTTTGTTTAAAATAAACTATCTCATAGAAGAAACAACAATGTACATAACCGTTAATTTTTAATGTAGATACTGATTTATTAGTCAGGAAGTGGATACAAACTATCAAAAGGACAGTTTCTACAAAACGAATGGAATTTTAACTTAACTTGAGTTATTGACTTATCAAATAATTATTTTGATATTAAAATCTCGAAAAAGATGCTATATTAATTTTATTTTAGTGAGGGATTATATAAATTTTAGTGAGGGATTATATAAATTGTTAAATAACGAACAAAACACTCGAGTGTACATATCTTTATATGATAATGTGCTCAAGTTAAAAAAAGAATAAGGAAGTAATTAAATGCTAAAATGTACCTTGAAAACGTTCTGAAATATTCTAAAGTAAAAATGTGTTATAATAAATACCGGCTATCGTGTGTTGACATATTAACTCCTGGAAGAGTTACTAAATGAATGATTCCATAAATAATCATTATAATTCGCCATCTAATAGCGGGGATCTTAGGAAGGGCCATTATACCTATAAAGGCTGTATCACCTTCTTCTTTAATGAATTAAAAATGAAAAGCGCGAAAATACTTTATCACGCGTTTGAGTGATGAGAGACAAAAGACAGGCAATAGGCATATGGAAGACAAACAATATTTGTGGGAACCTTCAATTTCACATGACTACTTACGACTGTCGCCAGCAGGCAGACGGAGAGTACGAGTAGCTTCATGATTTCGCGATCTTTATTATCACCGATAAACGAAATATTACAAACAGTTTGGGCGCGACGGCGCGAACTGACGGAGCTGATCACCGGCTGGTATTTATATCATGTGGCCTTATCTAATATAGCGATCGCTGACGGGGAAGCCCACGCTCCATAGGAATAGCCAATCGTACACGGAATACTAATATGACACACGGAAAAGTCGTACGCGTTCTATTGCATACGGGCGGTCGATGCACAGCATTCGAGGAAAGTGCCGCGCGTCCCTGGGGAATTCACGCCAATCGTGATTTGCGTCGTGCGACCTTCGGTCGAAAACGTCGCAAGCTATAAAGTCATTTTTACAAGACACAGAAACGGAGAAACCGGTCATTGCACCGATGCATCGCTGATCCATCGGCCCGCGGCGTCCTTCGCCGATTTGCCAAGCAGCTGCGCGTCTTGTCGCGAGTTTCGGCATTCCGCTCGGAATGTAATCGCACAGACCGGCATGGCAGCCTTAAAATCGAATGGTGCGATAATACTCAGGACTTTTCATTATTCGCATCGTGTTGACTTGTATGTGATTGTTCAATGAGACGATACCCTAGTAGGAATTTCATGCATTTTTGAGTGGTCATTAACAGAACAATTTATTAGCTTCTGTCTAGTAACTCAAGAGTAAAATAATTTCGGATCCTAAACGTGGATATAACGATTTTCCTGCAGTTACTGCGCAAAAGATGCGCAAAATTTAAACCCATTTACTGAGCGAAAACAGAACGATAAATGAACGAAAAAAATAAATAAATAAATGAACGAAAAAAGAAAAATAAATGAACAAAAAACTATTTGATTGGTTAATAAACAATCCTGCTGACCATTTAGGGCAGCTTTATCCGAAAAGTACCTCTGTATAAAATTCTATCAAATTATTGTCCATTTCTTAAGATTGTTACAGTTAATGAGAATACATTAATAGTAGAACGCGGAAGCAGTGTCGTGATAGGTTAACATTTATAAAAATCAATTATCTCGGGATTTCCCACTTTGTTAAAACTCAAGTCAACTCTGCGCTGACGTGCGAACGATATTTTTTCATCGACGTTGTTTTATTTCTAAATGTTATGGGAAGAGTCAGAAAAACGTTATCTTGCGATAAAGTCTATGATTTATTGTGACTTCGGTTAAACACTAACAACGAGGTATATTGTATATAGCGAGTGGGAGCTGTAGCGCACCCTGACTCGTTCTCAGATTAAACGAGTTATCGAACATTTTAATTACTGTATCTGTATGCTTGTACGTTCATTGCGTGTCTAAAGGAACGACATCTTAAACCCCGATGACGGAAATTTGCCTGTTACTCCGATTTTGCGATTTGCAAATGGATACATGCGACGTCGCGCGTGCGAAATCGCACTTCTTTTTACTTCTTCTTTTCTTCTTTCTTTTCAGAAGCAGCTACTAAGCAGATTGTTATACCCATCGCCCTATCCTCCCGATCTATACCTCTCTCCTCGTTCACTGGAATCAGTCAAAGATGGAGATGATTAGTGATCGAATTAAGCTAGGTGTTTCAAGATCGTCAGATTGCTTCGTGAAATAATTACTAACTCTCGAGTAAATAATCGGCCGACAAAATGTTAACTTATTTGAGCAAAGGGTCCCGTGGGCTCCACGAAGCCACTTCTCTTGTATGTTAAATAAAATTCATATTTTGTTACATTTGAAATCTAATAAATTCATTTATTTTAATATTATTTTCGCGAAAACAGGCCGCGAAAGCCAAGGTGTTTTAAATCTTTTCAAGAAATGAGCTTTTGCAACTTTGCTTGTTATAAACAGCTTGCCCGAATAAGAATTAAAATGACCACTATCAGTGTGACAGTGATAATTTTTCTTCTTTGTCTATAAAATTTATTGTAAATATATTAACTTCATTTTACTCAATTATATAGAAAAGCATAGGGTAGATTATGGGGAAAGTTCCACAAATAAGCCGTAGCAGCGGAAGAATTATATTAATGATAACATTGAATTTTCAAAAAAAGATGAAAGAAAAAATTGTTAGGTAAAAGGAAACAGTAAAGATTAGAATTCGCTTTGAATCCACTCACGTGAGTTCAAACATTCCCTCATCATTTCCTTGTTAATAGGCTCTTTGTCGTTTTCTATGATTTCCATTATCTTGTCCACGACCAATTCCGAACCATTCATCTGAAATTAATATGAAACGAGAAATATGACGGAGTTGATGCTTAATGTGTCAACTCCGCTAAATGGTTAGCGTTTAGAAAATCGTAATCACCTAATCACATTACGTGTTTAGGGGATGCCAAAGATGATAATAAACTTGATAAGTGTCAATAACGTAGAGACGATCCTAAAAAGTTGTTGCATAAATACTGATATAATCGCGTTACTTTTTCCATATTTTTTGTACATTTAGATCTTATATAAATGTAAGCGCGATATAAATGTGAATATGATGAATGTTATTCTGTTTTACCACATATCCAATAGAAAATCAAATTAAGATATAAAAATTTGTCTGCAAACTTTTTGTGTCTTTTTAGGCCTTTAAAATTCATTGAAAAATACAAAAATGTTTCCTCAAATTTTCCTGATTGGAGCATTGCTATGATAAGTAAAAGCTGTAAGAATTTCTGTAAATATTTATTATTTTGTAAAAGCTGTAAGGTTTCTGTAAATATTTATTATAATTATAATATAAATATTTACGCTAACTGACATCTAAAGATGTTACTTTGAAATTTTTTATCATTTTCATCACGTTCTGAAAAATGGTTCTACTCATTTCCGTACATACTTTTATTGTGTAATAAAAGCATTAATAATTCTGCGTAATTAATAAGACGTAAACTTTTTAAAAAGAAATCAGTATCTGGTCGATAAAATTTTCAAGTATGGCATCCCCTTAAGTCTATTATGCAGATTAGTCTATGATTTTTTAATCGTATGGTTTTTATCGAAATTGTTATGGTTTTGTATATAATAATTTCGTGAAAATTGCGAGAAAGCGCGGTTGTTACCATTCCTTTTTTCTCCATCATGCAAGCCAGGAAAAGATTGTGTTTCTGGAAAGCTTTTTTAGTTTCATCGTCGATGTTATCTTCTTGTATCTTATCGAGTTGCTTCTTTGCAAGTTGCATCTCCGCTATCATGGAAGATGTCTTTAATTATTGCCATATCCAAAGACACGTATTATATTATTACTTGCATTTTCAATTGAAATTCGTATTTGCAACGCTTTCTATTTTCACAAGTGACTTACTCTCTGTCGTTCCCGATTCGTCTAGGCACGCCTTTATGGTTTCTTCGTCAGACTCAAAGGCTTCAGCCCATTCTTTTATACCTTCCTCTTGGGCAATTGCCTGAAATAATGAAGTTATACGACATTACATAAATCATCGTGAATATATTGTCAAAAAATTGTATCTGAAATTAATATTAGAATTATAAGTATTCAATGTTTTCCAGCACTTTTAATCTTATTAATTTTCGTTGTAACTCTGGATTATATAAACAATATTTTCTTAATGGGCTATTTGTGTGAGTAAAATATCTTTTACTTACTACATTATTAATTAAAAAATAATAATTTTGCCTACAGATATTTAAGTATGTTTGGATTTGAAATATTTGATTAGTTGTACTACTGATATACTATTAACATTTATATATTTTCCATATACACAGACATACACATGCAATATATAGAAACCAATAATGTATAAAACACATTATCATATTTGAGGTTTTGCGATATGTAAAAATGAATTTGATTTCTGCTGACTTGGTGCTGAATTTTTGATAGACTTCTTTCCATTGTTTTGTGAATATTTTAGTTTACATAATTAGAGAGAAAAACAGCATGATAATTTCATGATATTATCACGATGACTTTTTTTCTCTGATTAAGTGGATTGAAATGTTCAGATAACATTGCATATAAATTTATAAGAAAAGTGGCGTGTCCGAATCCGGAAGCCAAATTCAGCAAGAAATTAATGAGATATATTACAAAATTAATTGTAGATATTAATAATTTAATAATTAATACGGGATATATTAATGACGAACTTTTTACGAACGTATTTTTTTTTAATAAACTCACGACATAGGCAAAGACGAGGACGAGGAACGCGATTCTCTTCATGCTGTCCGATTAGTGTTTTGCAGGAACGAGTGACTTTCTGCAAAATCAGAAACCAATTCGCGCACACACTGAACCTGAGTTTTTCTATGGCGCATATTTATACTCCGGGCTCCACACTCTACCATTCAGTCATTGCGATCTTACGTCACGATACAATCGGCAATTCCTGTATCGCATTTACGGATTTGCGGAAGCGCACCGGACATAATTGGCTGGCATATCAGATTTGCATAAGTTTCGATGGCGTCGCCGATATCGCGTTCATTGTATCGTCATCGTCATTTCGTATTGTTTTGTGCTTGTGTGTGTTAGATTGCATAAATAGACTGCGGCTCGGTGTATTGGTGCTGTATCGCAATTGTGTGCGCGGGCGGAGAGATGTTACAGAGTGTTACTAAAATAGCGAGCGTGTTTAAAACATATCCAGCGAGAGAACGCTATTCTTGTGGGCGGTTTCCAGAATCGATATAACGTATGCGTAATTGTGGATCTAAATAAATTTTGTTATGGAATATCGAGATAGAAATATGAGGTGGTATCATGCGAGACGCGGGGAGAGTCTTCGTAAAAGAAAAGCAACCCTTATTATTTTAAATTATTTTGGATTATTCGAGGAATCTAGAAGTGAACAATTTTGTAGTATTTTGCATGTAGAGTTTAGAAAACCTAATTAAATATTTGACGTATAAAATTTAACGTTTTGAACTTACAGATGGTATATGCAAATTAAAAAAATGTAGAGCACAATATAATTTTAACTGTAAAACCGGTGAGTGTATATAACTTTTTCCTGTACTGAAAAATGAATTTGGTTGATTTTATTTGATAATAGACAACCAAATTTCTGGCTATAAGAATCAAATTTGGTTCATGAAAACTAGAAATTTTATTTCTTTCAATTGAAACGCGTTTGATTATCCATTGTTAGATACACTGCGAAAAAGTGCTTAAAAATTTATTTCACAGAAATAAATTTCATTTTTATAAAATTAAATTTTACACATCTCTTCCACAAATACGTTTCGAAGTTTTCTTCTCAGTGCAGATCGAACCGAAGTTATTTTTCAGTGTGCGAAACTTATCGTTGTGTAACCAATTGTCTTTTTTTTCTAAATCGCACTCGTAGTGTATATATCGATTATCCCCTTCATTATGTTAAATAATACAGTAAAGCCGATTTCAAGCACAATCGTCTCGCGTACAAACAGACGACGGCGCTCCACGTGCTGAATACGATGTCGCTTACAATGATATTTCTGGATAAAATTAATTACGTCGTCAAATACGTCGATACGATCTCACCGTCGCGTGGAAATTGAGCGATTCGCGACGCTCAATTATCATATAATTTTCCAATAGGTCCGGTAAATTGCCATTAGACAAAAGTGCAGCCGCGGGATTCACCGAGGCAATCCGGTAGCGGAGATGCGAAATAATAACGAATTGTAAAATAATAACGAATGACGATGACGATGAGCGATGTGAATAACAACGGCAAATTACGATGACGATAAGTGATAAAAATAATGATAGCAATTACGGCGACCGTCCAAGGTTGCGGGCTCGTGCTGTTCGTGTGTCATGTTATGGCGCGTAATAGACACACAAAGCGCCGCCAGCTGCCGCACGATCGGCCGATTTTGCTTCTACGCTTAAACGGGCGAACGGCTTCTACGAAAGCGAGATCCGGCCTTGTTATCTGCTTCGGAATTGGTCGTTACCAACGATAAAATGTAAGCGTAGCTGCAGATCGGCACACCGACACGCATTCATCCGGCTTGCATTTTCCCGCAGTGTGAAGACATGTTGCGGTCTAACCGCCGTTGTCTCTCGTTTCCTCGCGCTCAGCATTTAGCATCATTCGTTCTCGCGTGTTCCATACACTTTTTTTCCACTCCCCCCCCCCCCCC